CAGTGGGTCTTGAGAAGGTGAGAGCAGTGGGTCTTGAGAAGGTGAGAGCGTAGGTGTTATGGGGATACGTTCATTATCAGCCTCCACCTGGAGGCCCAAGTGCAGCAGTGTAACTATCAACTAATCCAGACATAGCAGGAAACATATTTCTTAAAACCTGCAGCCTCCTTCCTTCTCAAGTGTTTAAGTGAACGACCTCTCAGCCTTTTACTGAGGAAGAAAGAAGAACACGAGAAGAACCGGAGACTGCAGTCAGAACCCCCGGTTCTGGTTTGGGCTCCTCCGGCGCTTACTGCCTGCGGAACATTGGCTAGTAACTCATCCTTCTGATCCCCTTGCTCCGCCTCCTCCCCAAACCCTGGAAAGTGAGTGACCTAGATGATCTTCATGCTTTCACCATCCTAAGTCAATAATAAGGCTACTTCACCTTCATAGCGAGGCTTCATTACAGTGATTGAGCCAAGTTGGATACTTCGGCGAGAAATCAGCATTGATATTTCTTAATTTAGTATGTAAAAAAGGGAGTATGATTGTATTCTTTCTCTCTCCTGTGGGACGCTGTAATGTACCACAAGTGTTCATCCCACTAGCTTGTTTAAGGCTAATTGAAAATCAATTTAATAAACCTTTGAGCTATGGCTTTGTGTTGAACACCGTGGTGGGCAGTGAGAATAACTCAGCGAGTTCAGGCTCTGCCTGCAAAGTGCTCACCACCTAGTCAGAGAGGAAGGCACAAAAACTAATAAACCACAAATCCAGTGTGATAAGTAGAACAAGTATACATAAGATGCAGAGGTAGCATCGGGGGATGCTATATATATTTCTCTGTATTTATTTTGAATTCCAGAAGTAGAAAAATGTATGTGTGTGGAGGCTAGCTTTATGGTAAATTTATAAAAAAACTACTAACTGTTTACCTGTTTACTACTGAATCAAATATATCCCCCCATAATATTAGTTGCCATAAACTGCAATCAAATGAGTTATGATATGGGAGGTTGAAAAAAATCAGAATGTTCTCTTTCTTTTCTTAGATAAATGACTATTTTTCAATGTCCTCAAACATCACTATTAAACCTCTCTTTACTAGCAACTGGCACTTCTGTCATTGAACAAAGAACACCTAAATGTGTCAAGTAATCTTTATAAACCGAGTACTATAGCCTGGAATGTATTCAGATTCTCTTTAGAATTTAGAAAATAGGGAGAAATGAGTTTTCTGAAGAATACTCGTGTGTCTTAGCATGATTAGTTTTTGGAATGTTATGTCCACAAAGTTAAGGTTTTCCTGGTGATTCGCAGCAATCTTGAACTCAAATCACGGAAATGGAAAGTGTTAAATCTCGCACTGACGCTGAAAGCCGCACTGTCGCCTGCACAGTGGGGGGTGGGGAGCTTGGGGGAGTTTCTCGTAAAAACTTGGCCTGAGCTAATTTGTTTTGTTTGAAACTGGAAATCATATTGTTGAAGTTTGCATTCTGTTTTCTTTCACTAGGTGTGTTAACGCAAAGCACCATGTTTTTAAAGGGCTTCCTCCTTTGTGCAGGAATAAATTTGGCTCCTGAAAAAGAAAAAAATTTGCAACGGCAATTCAGCAACATCGCACCTCTTTCATTATTTCAGGGATGCAGGCTTCAGCTCAGCCACTCCAGGCATATTTTCTGGAAACCTGTAAAAACACGCCCATAAGCACTGAACATAAAACCCGACGGTACACTCATAAACGTTTGTACAATCTTATGGTCCACTTACCGTTGAGTTTCTTAAAGCTGTGTGCATATTTTAAAAATCATTAGAATAAATGAAAATTGGAACAAGATGCTATTTGAGAGAAGGTGCTACCTAGAGTTGCCTGAGGAACGCTGCTCTGTGACTCTCCTAGGAAGTGAGCAAGCCTCTTGCCCATAAAATAGACAGAAGCTATGCCTTCCAGATATCCCCTGTCCCGAAAAATTAGATTAAGATGGAAACAACAGAATATTCTTTTTTTTTTTTTCGTATTTTAACCGTCCAAACTAAGTACCGAAAGGGCATGCTTCTTAAAGAGGCGTGGACTAGCTGAAAAGTTAACAGCCAGACCGATTGGACTGTGTTTTGGAAAACGTCTCACTGTAAGACTCACGGTGCTTCAGGGCCATGCCCGGGGACTCTGAAGAGAAGAGAGAAGAGAAGCTGGTGAGAGAGAGCTTTGTAAGTTCAGGCATGCTCTAGAAAGCTACTGGATGGTCTTAGAATGTCTCATGAAACATAAAATCCCAGTGCAACTCTAATCTGAATGTGGGGAAACGGTTACTCTTAGAAAACAGCTGCACTCTTGCAAAATGTATTATCCTTCAGCTTTTGACCTTTTTTTTCTTTTCAGGTTGAAAAAGTTAAGCATGATTCATGTACTAAGGATTTCCATTCTTTGCTTAGTATTTCTTTAAAATTGCGTTCTAACCCAAGGCTGTGTCTCTCTCCCCCCTGTTTTGGTTCTCGTGCCCCCTCTGCCCCAGGTTGGCCTTCATTCCACGACGTGATCAGCTCGGACGCAATCACGCTCACAGATGACTTTTCCTACGGGATGCACAGGGTGGAAACAAGCTGCTCCCAGGTCAGTTAACCCCACCCGAAAACCCAATATGCTGCTCACTCTGCCATGCAAACACTTTCAAGACTCCTGGTTGTGCTAAACGTAGCAGCTAAGGTGGCATGACTGAACACCAAAGGGGCAGACAAGCACGATGAAGTCTCCATACAGTCCTAATGATATCTCAGTCTTCAGGTGGTTAGCAAGTCCAGTTAAATGTCAGTCATTGGCTTCAACACTATTTAACAAAACCATTGGTAGGAAAAATCATCTTCCATTGACTCGATACACGGGGAGTGGGCTGTTCTTAGGGCATGTGAAGATTTCATTACGTGGCCTCACATCACCTGATGTTCAGATAATTCCACTCTCCCTGCAGTTCTGTGTACCCACTGTTCAGTCATAATACCTTTAATGGTAATGATCCAAACACAGTCAACAAAGACCTCAGAAACCGCTTTCCTTGGGTACGTGCGAGGAGGGATGTTGGAGAATGGCCGTTGGGAGAGGAAGTTCAGTGGTAGCTGCATGAGGGCGGAGTGGGATACGGGATAAGGTGATTCCTCCTCTACTTCTAGTCTATAGACCTGTCCTCATTTCCAAGGATGTTCTGTCTCGTTCCTTCCACCCTGCTCTAACCAACTTAGTGCTGACTCTAAGGGAGAAAATGAGCATATGTTGAGGAGGAAGCAAAAATTGTTAAGCTGTCATCCCAATCAAGAGACTTAAACTTGTGGATATTTTGTGCTCAAACCCAGAGACGTGGCCAGAGCCTTCCTGTACACAGAATAGGAACAACTGCGTATTCTGTTCTAGAGTAGGTAGTCCTGTTCTCGTCTGTTGAAATAGTGAGATGAAAGTCTGAGCGTTGTGGCACGGACATTCATTGATACCGGAGTGTTTGGCTGGGGGAGGTCTGTTGCACAGGTCAGAGGGAAAAGGGGCTGTAATAGGGACGTGATGGCCACGAGGGCCTCCCTCAGCATTCTTTACCTGCCCTTTAACCCATTCATCGGGGCCGAGAGTTTAGGGAGTAGGGAGCTTATTGACTACCAAGTAGGGAGGGAGATTGGTTTGAACTTAACCATCTGATGAATTTCTGTTTGCATTTTTTTTTTTAAATAAGGCTGGCAAGTTGACTGCCTTTTAAGTATGAGGACCACTCTCTCCCTTGAAAAGCAGACTTCATATTTTCACTTCACTCTTGTTTCTCAGATGTGAGTCTCTGAGCAAGACAGTGGCACTTTCTGATCCTGGGTCTCACCCCCAGGGATTCTGATTTCATTGGTCTGGATGAGGCCTGAACATTAGCATTTTTTTGTGTGTGTGTGAGAAAGATTGGCTCTGAGCCAACATCTGCCAATCCTCCTCTTTTTGCTGAGGAAGACTGGCCCTGGGCTAACATCCATGCCTGTCTTCCTCCACTCTATACGGGATGCCACCACAGCATGGGTTGACAAGTGGTGCGTCAGTGCGCGCCCGGGACCCGAACCGGTGAACCCTGGGCCACCGCAGCGGAGCGCGCCCAACTTAACCAGTTGCGCCACCGGGCCGGCCCGAACATTAGCATTTTTGAAAGCTCCCCTGGTTAATGCTCACAATAACCTTATGAAGTGGATACTGTTATTCTCTCTCATTTTACAGTTGAGGAAACAGCCATAAGGAAGGCAATTACACTTGTGTAAATTTACGCGGATTTAAGTGGCAGAACTGAGACTTCAATTTGGGCGTTTAGCTCCAGAGCTCTTTACGGGGCTAAGATAGATAAATAAATGAATGGATGAATGGATAGATAGATGGAGGGATGGAGGGATGGATGGATGGATGGATAGATAGATAGATAGATAGATAGATAGATAGATAGATAGATAAATGCACCATAAAGAGTCACATTGAAATTAGAAAAAAGAAACAAATCCATGATTCCTCAGCAGTTTAATTCAATTCAGTTTTGAATTCAATTGAGTTTTAATTGATATTTTTACAACTGCCACAAAAGCAAATTGTGACTATCTACCTAGGAGTCTAAAATATTTGACCAAAAAGTTACTGGGTAGGATGGTGGTAATTTGTAACTTGGTACATAGCACTTAGTAAACCTCTTTTAAGGCTAACAGTTGTTTTTTTTTCTTTGTTTTTTTTTTAAGCTGCCTTAATGGTCCGTTATATGACTGCTATTCTCCTTTTCACTCAGAACCCACTTTCAAACATTGAGTCCTATGAAAACCAAATAAAAAAGGCACAGGAGGGGCTGGCCCAGTGGCGTAGTGGTTGGGTTTGTGCGCTCTGCTTCGGGGGCCTGGGGTTCGGATCCCGGGCACGGACCTACGCACTGCTTGTCAAGCCATACTGTGGCAGGTGTCCCACATATAAAAAGTAGAGGAAGTTGGGCACGGATGTTAGCCCAGGGCCAATCTTCCTCAGCAAAAAGAGGAGGATTGGCAACAGATGTTAGCCCAGGGCTAATCTTCCTCACACACACACACACACACACACACACACACACACAAAGAAAAGTGAGGCATAAGATAATAATGTTCCTTAAGGCCCTACTCTCTGATGTCTGTGTGACTAATTCTTAAAATTCACAGTTGGAATAAACTTCCTCCTTTCTCTGTGGCAGCCACAGAGATAACATCAGTATCGGTCAAGAAAAGACCATTATGAAGATGTCCTACAGTGGCCAAAGAGAAATAAAACCACAAACTGAGCCAGGATTAGGCAACATTAATAAGAGGTGTCGCACTAACCCAGGCATAGCTCTCGGCCCTTTGGTTAAAGGCCTAGCTGACTGTTACTGTTCTCTCGTTCCTTTCCTAACAGCTGGGTGAAGAACTAACACTGACTTACTCATCTTCGACTTCTTTTTCCACTACTTTTACTTCTCATATTTAGAAAGCGTTTGACTCTTAAATAAAAGTCTTAAAGAGAAGAGGGAGGGAAATTTGTTCCATCAAGGTATATGTGAAAATACATGCTTTGTGAAGTTCCATGTAGAAAATAATCGAGTTCCAGCCATAAAGAATGATACATTTGCTGGATTCTTCCCCGTGTGGACAGAGCAGGGGATGCCTGCCACATATGTGCGGTAAGAGTTCATGAAATTAAAGTGCGTTGGGTGTCTTTCAATTTCTTTGTTTTTTGTGTGTTGCACACACACGTTTATTTTCCTTTTGTTTTACATTTTTCTTTAGTTTTCTCTTTCCATTTTATCATTCATCCTTTTTATCTTGACTTGAAGAAAAAATAACTGATTTAATGGTTTCCATACTAGAGTAACCATTTGTATTTGACTTCCTAGTTCCTCATTCTTAGCACTTTTTCATCAGTTTATCTTCTTTTACTTTACTTTTTCTTTTACTTCTTTTACTCCCAATTTCTCCTTTTTTTTTTTTTTTTTCCTTTTTGATGGTAACAGTATGGGAAACTTCTCTGATTTGCTTCTCCTCTTTCTAAAATTCTTGTTGTATTTTGATTTCACATGGCTTGTCTTTTCTCTGGACTGAATTGCATCACTGTGGTTTGTGTTATGAAGAATGTTAGATGCTTTTAGTATCTCATGGACACAATCAGTTGGGCATGTTATGTGGAGTACTTCTCTCGTGGTAGAGATGGGGTGTCTAAACATGAAGACCCTTTTACTGCCAACTTACACAAATGAACTGAGCTCCATGGATGAAGCCAGCAGACTCACCCTGCTTGCCTGGCAACATGGTGACATTTTTTTGGTGTATTGGTTCCTAATTCTTGCTCTAGTACTTAGGATTCTTCTTCTCCTTTTTATTTTATTTTTTTAAATTGTGATATGAATCACACCATGCAGTGAATTAGGCCTGATATTTGAGTGGAAATTGTAAACACATTGGGAGCCGTAGGCTGCCATCTCTTTACACTACACTGTAGTTTTTCCATGTGTCCAGTGACTTCTTAGGTAATAACATTTTAGTAAAATTTATCATGAAAGTTAAGATTGATTCAGTGCCATCATCACTTTTCAGAGAAATACTGTAGTCAGGTCCTGATCTTTAAGTTGCCAGCACGGAAAAAAGCGAGGAGGTGGGGATCCTCCCCTGCCTTCATTAGGATTCCTACTGGTGGAGGAAATGTTACCCTGTTACATTCTGATATTCTGAGTTTTGTTGCAACCATATTTGTTTTCTTTTACTATTCTACCTACTGAATCGAGGACTTATCTTCCAGTTATCTCTTTCAAAGAAAATCTTTGTCTTACATTTGCCCACTTGGCTGGGCACATGTGTCTTCCCCTGGCTGTCGCTGTTTCCTAATAATTTTCAGTTTTAAAGAATTTTCTTTAATTTTGTTTAATTTACATTTTTCAGCTAGTGATGAAATACATTGCTGCGATCCAGTATCGCTGACTACTGTCAATAATTGTTTGTCAGCCTCTCCTTAATCCTCCAAGTCCAGCCTGTTCAACAACACTTTGTCAGGAGTTTAAATTCAGTGCAAAAAGATAAGATTTGCATGGTTTAAGTTGTAGTTCAGCGAAGTAAGTCCCTCCTGGAAGTACTTGGGGAATTCTTCCTTCTTTAGATCAAAATTCTACATCTGCAGCAAATGGGAGACCAATAAATCACTTAACTTTTTGTAATAATCTTTAAGGAAACCATCAGATCTCTGAGTTTACCCAAGTTGGAGTCTATTTATGACTGCTGCTATTACTGCTTGAATCTATGATAGAGTCCCTTAAGTTTGTTTTAGATCATTGTTAATTTATTCTAAGTCAGCCAAATCAACAGAAAGGTAAATATCTACCAATACGGAGTATTTTTCAAAAGTTAATCAGTTTTTGGTAAAACCCCAAACCTTATTAATCTTTTGCAGATGACAACTCATATATTGCTGATGATTACAGATGCCCATGTGTTACAATAGGGTTTCAGACTCACAGCCCATCTCTCTTTTTCTTGATCTTTCAGTAAAATCATAATGCTAAACTGGTGACTTCACAATCATTTCCTTGGCAAATGATTAATATCACAGGCAGAGAGGAAAAGAGCCCTACTTATACACAAGTGTCTTCAATAATGGTGGGAGAACACAGGATACTACTGGCAAAGTAAATTGCTTTTCTTCTTAAAATCTTTCCTCCTTCCCATCCTGCCCCACGTGCCCAAGTGTAAAGGCCCTGCTTTGAAACTGCTTCATCTTGTAGATCAAACACTTAAGAGAAAATGACAATAATAAAACCCAAAACATCCTAGAAATAGCCAGGAGAAAACCCTCTAGGACAGTTGGAAATACATCAGTGCACAACTATGTAAAAGCATTGAATGCACTATTTGTGTGTCTTATGCAGACAGAGGAGAATTGCAGGCAGATTTTAAAGAATTATGTTAAATTTGATGCTCAATACTCTTTTTTTGGGGGGGGGTGTCTTTCCCTTCTTTCTCTGCAGGTTCTTTAGGTGCCGGCTTTTCTGAGTGGGGGGCTTAGGTGATAAAGGATTCTTGTAGTCATTTAAAAATTTTCTTTTGAACCCTTATCTCAAGCTTTTTCAGGATGAGAGCTGGAATATTTAGTTATAGTTTGTATTTTACCTGTAAAATGAAGGCATACATAACCATTTTAAAACAGCTTTCCAAATGCACCCCCAAGAGTCGGCCCTGAAATAAATCATTAACAATAGGTTTCAGAAATTTCTTCATCGGGCACCCAGTTTGTTTCAGTTACAACCAGGTGTGTTGAGAGAGCCCAGTACATTGCCAGTTGGCTGGGGCCGGAGAGGCAGAGCTCGCAGGCGGCTAAAGAAACAATGCATCACTGACAACTTCCATTCATCATCCCAGCCTCCGTCCAGGGGTAAGAGCTGGAAAGAATGGGCTCCATGTGCGTTCCCTGCAGGGAGGAGCCTTCAGGGCTCAGGCACTTTTAAAGGAAACCGGGCAATAGTCTTTTGTGGGACCCCGGGTGTCCCTAGGAGGAAGCAGAAATGGCGCTGTGTGGTTGGGCTTCCGCCAGACAGGTGGCATTGTAGCTTTGCAGGCAAGGGGGCGGGCATGTATGTGGTGGCACAGGTTTAAATGAACACCTTGCTATGCTTTGAAATGTTGCTCCTCCCTCAGTGATCTGAGCCTGGTGTGAAGCTTCCAGAACACCTGTGGTAAGCATGATGAAGCTGTCACTGTCATTTTTAGGGGACTCACAGCTTTTCTGAGGATTTCCCCACCCCATCCCCAACCCACATAGTTGTTTGCAAATGGTTTTTGTTGCCTTTTCCTAAACTATAATCGCTCTTCCTCGCCTCCCTTCCTTTTTCTTTTGCCTAGATTAGGGACATCTAGAATCTGTATTTTCCCTTCTGTTTAACCAAAAGACTAGTTCCAGATTGAGCAAATGAAACTGCAGACTGATAACTGACTCAGTTCAGCAGATTAAATTACTCTAATTTGGATTTTAAAAAAATGATTTGGGAAATGAAGACCGGATAAATATTCCTAAATGACTTCAAGTATATCCTTACCATGCTTTATTTTGGAGTAAGATAGATAGATCTATTTTCTAAATATGCCCAAGAGATGATTAATAAAAACAATATCATTTATTTGGCCCAGATAGCTGTATTCTCTCATTAAAACAAAACCTATCTGAGGCTTTTGTGTGAACCCTCCACCTCTCAGATGCCCGGTGATCAGTGTGCCAGAACTGGCTGTGAGAGCAATGTTTGTGCACACACGCTGGTCTCCGAGAGCACTCTGGTTCCTGTCGGCCTGCATGCTGACTCTGTTGGCAGGCAGAAAGCAGTGTGTTCTTGTGTCTATTGGGTAGGCATATGTAATTTTACTGGTGCATCTTAGCTGCTGATGCCTGAAAATATGGCCTCAAATGTTTATAGAAAGAAAAAGTAATCTGAGCTGTCAGCCTTGATATTACCTAAACCTGCATAGAATGTAGTAAAATAATGCAAGATTTGTTTTGTAGGCCTGTTTCATATTTTCCAGGCAATAGATCAAATCAGTTCAGGGTTCATTTTTAGTTCTTTAATAAGCTGACGTGGTATGTTGGCAGTAAAGTAAAAATGCACTTTTAACATGGAAGTGCCATGTAGTTAAAATTGCTATTTGTGCTATTTATTAATAACTAGAGAACGCTTGAGAATTGAGTTTAGCACTTTCAATGGGGAAACTGAGATTCTAGTTCTTTCCATTGTAATGAGCATAGTCCCTCACTTCTCTCTCATCATCTCCATTTGGTATCTTAGCCTCGTCCCCTTGTCAATTCCTACTTTCTTTCCCTGCAATTTATAAGTATTTTCTACACCAAACGAGCACAGTGAGAAGAATTAATAAATCATCTACATGCCTCTTCTCTCGTGTTGTTTCCTAAATCTTGACTCTTCCGTCTGCTCGAAATACTCTCCCCTAGATATGCTCTTCTTCACTTCCTTCAGGTTCTTATTCCAAAGTCACCCTGGAAAAGCCGCCTGACCCCCAGCAATGTTAGCCCCCAGCCCTAACACTCCAGATCACTTGCTCGTTTTTTCTTCTTAGCATGCGTTTCCACCTGCTATCCTTTCCATTTCCTTCTTTCCTGTGCATTGTCTGCCTCTCCTGCTAGGACATGAGCTCCATGAGGCCCGGGGCTATGGCCCGTCTCCAGGGTCTGGGACATTGCCTGGCATGTAGCAGGAGCTCCATAGATATTTGCTAAATGAATGAATGGAAGTCATTTGCCCCAGGCTTTGGTTTCTTTGTTATGTGACGAATGATGTGTTCTCACAGCCTATTTGAATGGGGTGCACTAAGGTCTCCATATCCTTCACCCCTGTCCCTGCTGAGAAAGGGAGGGAGATGGTAAGTGTGACAGAGGCTGTCGTCTCCTGGAGCAGTACCCGGCATCAGAGCCCTTAGTGCAGGGCGTATTCAGTGAGCCAGGCTTTCTGGAGACATTTTCTCTGGCTGGAGTTCACTTAAACACCATCATAACCAGCCATCCCTCCTCCTCTCTCTGTCTGGGTTCTGGGCCTCTTCTCCTTCCTCAGCTTTCTAGATAGTCAGTAGCATGGATTTGAGCTAAACAGCTTATTCCTTCTTTACGTAATATAGTTCACGCTGGTAAAGAAGCCAGCACGGCGCTCCACCTATTGGAAGCCAGAAAAAAACGAGCTTGTGGACTCTCGAGGTTTCCATTCAGCATACTTGCAGTCCTGGTGACCGTGACATAAATCTCTTGAGCCTTGCCGTCGCTTTGCTAGGTTCCAAGAACATCCAGCGCTTGTCTGATGTTAAGTTTTACTGCCCATGAAAGCAAACATCACCTCCGTCATGGCCAGTTAAACAGTATCTTTTACAGTGGACTTCTGCATATCTGAAACCCACCCATCCAAAGCCAGAAGTAATGCCAAGAGGGAGAGAGTTTATGCTGCCATGTTTCTTACAAGGGGAGATCAAGGGTCAACTCAATTCATAAAATTACTGCAGTCATTTTTCAACTGGCTGAGAGACTTCACAGATCAAAAAATACAGTGGCTCCTAAATGATTTCTGATACGCACAATTCTAGCGTTTTTTATTCTCAGCATGTGGTGCAAAGCCTGCCAGAAACCATCTTTGCAGCTATTGACAGGCGGATTAGAAATCATCCACGATGGTTTCAGTCATTTCCCTCCAGGCTGGTCATCTATTTAAAAGGCTTAATGTGAGTTCCTCTCAAAGCCAGCTTTGTACGCGCTCTTCCCTTACAGCTCGCTCTTCTCTTCCAGTGCGGGGCTCACCTTGGGCACATTTTTGATGACGGACCTCGTCCGACGGGCAAAAGATACTGCATCAACTCGGCATCCCTGTCTTTCACACCTGCAGATGGCAGCGGCGCCGGCGGCGGGGCGGGCAGCCCGGCCCAGGCGGACAAGACCGAGCTGTAGACGAAGGGAGAGCGCCGGAGCAAGTGTACTTAACGCACAGCTTACTTCACGATCCGAATTGTCTATCTTAGATATATTTTTTCAAAAAATATAAGGGCAGTTTTGTGCTATGGATATTTTTCTTCTTTTGCTTAAACAGAGGCCCTGGCAGTCAACGTATTTTGCTATTGACTAGATCTGGAACTGTTTATAACTTTAGCGAACAAAGATAGTTTTGTGAAACTTCTTCACAAGTCGCTTAGATACCATTTGGCATTATTTGCTTTGAGCACATAGCTTCTTTTAAGATTTTTTTTTCCCCTTGCTTAAGAGGCCCAAGGTGCTTGGTCTTTACACGTGACAAGACCTCCAGGCGGAGCAGAGAGCGGAGCTCGGGAGTGCCGGGCATGCAGACCTGCGAGCCACCTGGCCGGAGGTGCAGATCTACCTAAGATAAGGACGGAGTGATGTCTTAGGAGACTTCTCAGCCTTGTGGAAAGTTTGAGCTAAGGTCGTTTATTCTCGCTAAAAGGGTGTGAAGGTCTCAAGTCTTTCCTTATGTTAAATTGCTGCCAGACCTGAGGGGGCGCACCGAGTGTTATGGCAGAGAAGTAAACATTACCTCACGGTTAGGCCTTTCTTTTATTTTATTTTCCATTGAAAACATTGGAATGTAAGACAACTGTAAAATCTTGAGCCCCATTTTGCCCAAAGGTCACAAAGAAGAGCACCTGGCATTGCCTTGTACACGTCCATCCCCCACACCCAATCCTAGCTGCAGCTGGAAGGGTGTCTCGGTTAATTCCCCTGTCTAAAATAGAATACTGGGGACAGCACACTTCATCAGGGCAGCAGAAATAAGAGAGAGCAGAGAAGACCAAGGAGGAGGTCCTGGGTACTGAAATACCCGTGCCAGGCACAAGAGCTGACAAGATACTGCAAGTAACAGACAGAGCCCCAAGCGGGGGACCTCGTGCACAAGTTCAGGTGACCTCTGGAAAGATGTTGGCGGTTAAAATAGAAATAGCCAGGAGCTCAAGTCCCGCCCTTGACACTAATCTGCTGTGTGACAAGGGACAAGCCATTTAGCCTCTCCACGCCTATTCTTCATGTATAAACTGGGACTTACAGTATTTGTAAAATAATTGACACTTTCAGGGCAAAATTACTACATTGCTATACAATAAAGATCAGTGTTGTAAAATTAAACTGATCTGGTTCTAATTGCCTCAAAGGCTGAAGCCCAGGCATTTGAAATGGAAAGAAGCAGAGGAGGTTGACTTAGCTGATTGGTATGGAAACAGCCGAGCCGGGAGCCAGAAGTTTGCTTTGTAGCAGTGTGGCTGGTTTTACTCTGAGAAGCTCTGTGCGGTTGCTTTATAACATTTAGCCTGGTGGAATGGACGTCATTGTGCACAATCTGGTTTCCCAGGTATGACTGGCGGTGATTTCAGTTGATATTGCCATGGCCAGGTGTGAAGGTGTATAGCTTATGACTGGTATATCTTGTGTTTGTAGCTTGAATGCGAATCCTGAAATGTAGTTTTTAAAAAATATTGTTTCTGTTAATCTTTGAAAGCTTATGAATACTGGCATCTTTTCTTATAAGCACCAAGACAAAAATAAGAAGGACACTTGACAATTTTAAAAAAGTCATGAGAAATTAAAATGAAAAGTTGTGACAAATCAGAATGTCAATGTGGTCACGTCCACATTCTTCTATGTCTCTGCAAACACTTCCTGGTGAGGTCCTGACATCCTGGTGGCTCTTCATTGTCACATATGCTACAACTTGGGGATTCCAGATGAGTTACGTTCTTCCTCCCTCAGCTCCCAGAATGTTTCATCTCAGCCCTGGGGTCCCTCTGGAACTCGCTGGTTCCACTCTCCTCTAGAAATGAGATGTAAAATTTAAGACCATTGAAGCCCAAGCATCCAGACCATCCTAGAAGCCTTCCCAACCTCACAGAGGAGCCCCAACATTTCCCAGCAACCCAAGGATCCCATGTGGGGTTGGCTAAAGAAGTGGGTCTCCCAGGAGTTCCTGTCACAGTGCACAGTCCATCCTTAGGGGCACACACAACACTTCTCACATGGCTCCAGCTGCATACGGTGGCCTGCCCCGGGGTCCGCTGGACACAAGCCACAGTGTTGGGGCAGATGAGGAAGATAAATGCCGGGTTTCTTCCCTCTCCCCAGAGACGCTGGGTTCTCATTGTTCCTTCATGTTGGTTGTAAGGCTTAACATTTCTCTCAAAAAACTGCTTTTCTAATCCTCAGTCTTTGTTTCAAGCCAGTTTTTCTTCTACCACGTTTTCCAGCATCAACTTTAAGAAAAATGCAACATCCACCAAAAACAAAACAAAACAAAACAAAAAACAGCAGGTTTATGCATGTGGTTTAATTCCACGTTGCTTTTGAGTTTAAGTGGTATCAAATTTCAGTATATTTCTGTCTTATGTTAAAGAAATATATTACTGGAACGTCAGTGAGCAATAATGTCAGCGGTCGAGCACTAGATTTATTTGTGCAGGATATGGAGTGCAATGAACTGAGTCAATATGGCGAGGTGTATGTGATCTGTGGGAGTTCTGCCACTGAAGGTAGGAAACGCATGGGCCTTTCCCTCTCTGCACTCTAGCCTTACTGTACTGTTAGGAGATGCAGGTTTCTGCTGGTGTGTAAAAAGTCCGTCCATACAGTTATGAGAACAGATCTGAAGAAAACAGCAGTTTGCATTGTGTTAGAGAACATTTCCATGTGTTTAAACTTTTCACTTCTTAGATGCGTTCAAATTCTTAATGCAAATGACATAGCAATTTAAAAGCCTCTCCATGTTAATTGAATTGAAAATGCCTTGCTTTAACTATGGAATATGATGAAAGGGACTATCATTTGTTCTGAAGGTCAAATATTATTTTTGCCTTAGATAGCTTTGTAATAATTTTTCTCCACACAATTCAAAACTTTTGAAAAATGATATGAAATTTTCATTAAAAAACCCTTTTCCTATGTTTATTGTATACAAAACTTATGCAATAAAATTTCTTTATAAGAATGTTTTCTTCTCTGATTCTTGAAGACTCCTCTTATTTTTAGCTCAGATACGTGGATCGTCCATTGGAGTTTGCCCTAGACCGCTCTGTTCACCTCCTTACCCAGCTGACAGTCTGTGGTTGGTATGGAGGAGCTCTGTTCACCTCCTTACCCAGCTGACACGTCTGTGGTTGGTATGGAGGGGCTCTGTTCAACTCCTTACCCAGCTGACAATCTGTGGTTGGTATGGAGGAGCTCTGTTCACCTCCTTACCCAGCTGACAATCTGTGGTTGGTATGGAGGGGCTCTGTTCACCTCCTTACCCAGCTGACGCATCTCTGGTTGGTATGGAGGGCCTCTGTTCACCATCTTACCCAGCTGATACGTCTGTGGTTGGTATGGAGGGCCTCTGTTCACCTCCTTACCCAGCTGACATGTCTGTGGTTGGTACAGAGGGCCTCTTATCTGATAGGTCCTTTGCAAGCTGGGCCTCTGACAGTAGAATTGAGTCCAACTCTCCATACCCCAGGCCCCGGGAAAGGCCTCCAGGGATCTGAAAGATTGGTGGAAAGGGAAACATTTGCAGAATTACTGAATCTTCACCTCGCCTCAGCAAAATCTTCAGCAGCTTATGTATGTTTTGTGCTTAAAATATAGGACCTTATGATAACTCCATAGAAAAAATGCAGGAATGGTACCATGCTGATGCCTAAGCTTCTGTTAAAGAATTTGACAGGAAACTTACACTGTTGCCAAGGATTGGTCTCCAGGGAAATAGATTAGGAGTTCCCCACTGCTCACAGATGAATTCACCTTTAAAAGTCATCTCTACGGAAGAGTTGGGATATAGTATTATTGGTTGTTGAAATTTTTTTATTTGCATTTTTTGGTTTGTTTTGTTGAGTTGTTTATTTTGGGGAGGAAAAGTGAGGTGATGAGGACTTTTGTTTTTCAGCCAATTCTTTACATCATGTTCCTGGGATCCTCAAATTCACAGGCCAACAATTTCATGTAGTGTACCTTAGAACAGTGCTCCTCAAAGTGTGGTCCCTGACTGCAGCATCAGCATCACCTGGGGACAAACACAGATTTTTCAGGCACTCTCCCAGACTCACTGCAATAGAAATTTGGGGGGGCGGGCAGGGTTCTTAGCAATTTGTGTTTTAGCAAGCCCTCCATGTGATTCTGTTGCTTGTTCAAGTTTGAGAACCACTGCCTTGGAACTTTTAGTGAGAAAACTTCAGTTAGTATTAATTTTACAAACATTTCAATATGACTTTCAAAAATGGCTTGTTTTGTCATCACTGATTGTCTTTCTATCGAGATGGATCAAACAGTTTTCCCAAAGCTTCATGCCTTCCAGCTTGAAGGAAGTTCTTGCTCCTCTCTTCTCATTTGTCTTGTTCTGGAGGACTAGCCTGTCCTGGTGAGCCACTGCCACCTGAACCCGGCGTTCTGGGTTGAACCTGGGGGCCCCAGTGGTGCTCACCAGGCCCCTTGAGAACTGCAGCAGGTCCATGTCGGGATTCAGGTCAGCAATCCCGAGAACTGGAGAACAGATCTTGGTGCGTAAATTCATGTGACCTTTCCCATCTCTTCCATTGCCTTGTACCTGTACATTCATCAAGGTATTTTTTTTTAAATCATCAAGAGATTTTTGCAAAGGTGCCATGTACCTGAATCGTGACTCTTTTTTTGTCAGAAAACTGCTGTCATTACCCAGATCTTAACAATGAAATGACTTCTAGAAGTTGCTGGCATACAAAAAAGGTCAAATATAAAATTGTCTTTGGGGACAGGCTTACAAGCACCCCATCCTGACTTCTAACCAAAGTTTATTGTGCAGTGTATAACTGACAGAAATGTCACCATTTTGTTTTGGGACCTGAAAAAGTGCCACCTGCCAGAGAAGAATATTCTGGCAGGAAGTCTTCCCATCCACTTACTGCCAGAGGCCAGCCTTGTTCTGGACCAACCTGGAGAGGAGTTGGCCAGGAGATGACTGTAGGGTCTAAACCAGGCAGCTCTGACCCCAGACACCTGAAAGTCTGTCATGCGAGCAAGGGGCTGTTATGGAACCATCGTAGGCTAAGGCCATGGAGAGATTTGGGAACCAAGTCAGAGCCCCAAGCCCACATGAGATTTCCCCAATTTTCGGGTTGGTTATAGAACCACACTAACTTGTCAGATTGTGGATGCGGGGAACCTCCTTCTTGTTTGGAAGTTTACATTTCCTCTCCCTGCAGTGTCCACCACCACTGCCAGCAAACACAGCGTGGTCCATTTTGTCATCCAGGCTGGGCAGGAACCTGACACGTTTTCAGGAAGAAGCAGCAGAGCAAGTCAACTGGTAAGCATTAGGTGCTTACTCCAGCACTGTACTGACAGGGTAAGGGTATAGAAAGGTGTGGAAATAGCTAGAAAGCAAAGTAAGGAGGTTGCACCTATTAGCACAGGAGAGAGTTGCAGCAGTGGTGGTACGGTGCCTGAAGCTTTATTCCTGGGCTTCCATCTCACACCAGACTTCTTTGTACCTTAGTGGTGTTGTGTATCAAGTCGTCTTCATAAGTCAGACACTTGATCCATCATCTCTAATGTGAGCTAGGTCGTCCTATCCCCCTTTTACAGGTGTGGAGCTAACGCTCAGCACTGTTA